AAAAAAAATCATTGGATTTTATCCACCCTGTTTTACAGGCAACCAAGACTTTTCCCTTGCTCCCCTATTCTCTCCAATCACTTCAGGTTGTGGATAAGCCCTTGGAGTCCTCACATACAAGGCAAGACATTGTATGTGATAAATTCACAGTGCCCACAACCTACATAGGGGCAAAGAGAAGCAGCTATGGAAGACCAGTCACGTATAGAGAAGCATTTCTGCCTAGACAAAAAAAAAAAAAAAAAGCATTTAACTTTTGCAGATTGTGAGTGGGTTTCTACTGAAAGATTAACTGTAGATTTTTCCTGTAGTTTAGCTCCTGAAGGATTTTATTCCTGTACTTTTACAAGAAAAAAGGAATTTACTTGTAAATTCCATATCTTGGAGTACAGCATAGTACAGGCCTGGTGCAAGAAAGCTCAGAAACGATCCAATGACTTGGTGGAATGGGCGCATCATAAAAGCATGGAGGAGATAAGTCCTTTATAGTGTAACCTCTAACAATCATCTGTCTTGTCCACCAAACGATGGTGGACATGGAAGCAGGATGTCTCTTGCGAGGTCCTGAAGATAGAACAAATAGGGAATCCATCTTCCTGCCAGAACTCTGATTGCTCTGTGCAAGTCCAGGCAATGTTCTTTGGATGCTTTGCAGCAGAGCAGATAGATGAAAGAACTAGTTGGGAGAATACCACCTTAGGAAGAAAGGATGGTCTTAACTTTAGATCTACCTTCTCATTTGGAAAAATGAGGAGCAGCTTTTAACAGGAGAGAGAGCCAAGTCTGAGACACGTCTGACAGAGGTGATAGGAACCAAAAAGGCCACTTTGGAGGAGAGATCTAAAAGGGATATCCCTGAGGAGTTCAAAATGTGGTATCTGCAGGGCAGAGAGAACCAAGTTGATGTTGCAAAGGGAGCCTTATTTAACATACACCTTGAATAAAGGTCTTGACAAGGGTGAGCAAGCCTATGGTTTTGGAAAAGAATGGACATGGCAGAAACCAGTCCTTTTAGAGGGCTTGAGGTCAAGTCCTGTTCATGTCCTAGATTGTAGGAAGGCCAGAATGCAAGGAACAGAGAAATGTCTAGGCTTGAAATGCCTGTGTTCACACCAAGAAAAGAAGGATTTCCAGGTAAATATTTCCCTGTCTTTTTTAAGACCTGGGCTTCAACAGCCATGCCGTTAAAGCTAGTGACTGAGAAGCAAGATGAAGCAGAGGATGTTGTGAGTTCTTAGATGGGCAGGAAGCAATGCTAGGACCTTTGTGAATACTCTGGGGAGCAGAGTATATAGGCCAAAAGGCAGTGAGACAACCTGGAAATGATTGTCTTCCATTGCAAAACAAAAAAATGCTGGTGAGATGCATAAATGGGAACATGCATATAGGCATCTTGAATGTCTACAGATGCCAGGTATTCCCCTGGTCACAGAGAGGCAATTATCAACCTTGCAGATTCCATGTCAAATTTTGGAACTTGAAGGTATTTGTGGAAGGATTGTAGGTCCAGGATAGGACAAGTTCTCCTTGTTGGACTATGGTACCAAGAACCGAAACAAAACCGTTTCAAACCATCTTGTGGGGGTACTGGCACAACAGGGCAGGGTAGAGAACAGTGAGGGGGGTAGAGTTTTGAACTCTATTTTGTACCCTCTTTGAAACCACAATGAACCCTCAGGTCTGAGATGTATGTGACCCAGAGCAAGGCAAACTGTTAACAAATGTCCCCACACTCTTAGGAGTGATGGCACCCCTACATTGGGAAGAAGACTTTAGGAAGACTTGGTGGGTAAGTCTTATGCTCAAATGAAGGACTGAACTAAGGTTCTGAAGGCAAAGCAATTAAGTGCTCCACATTTTTAAGAGGTATGGGCTCCTGAGGGGGGAAGTTTTTGAATCTTCCTCAATGGAAGTAGAACCTTCCCTCCTGTAACATCTTTTATAAATTTGTTGAGTGCTTCACCAATTAGACTTCCTCCTTCAAAGCGCATACGTGTGAGGCAGCTTCAGCTGTCCAGGCTTTTAGTCACAAGATTCTACGCATGCATATGGAGATTAGTTCCATTCTGGAAATTGAGTTCATTACTTGTTCTAGGGCATCTACAGAAAAGAGCAGAGCAGAAGCTTTCCACGAGATGGTCATTTTGTGGGTGTTTCCACGGTCCTGGTGCTCCAGGGCCTCCAAAAACACGATAGTCAGGAAATTAGATGAATAAAGCCTGAAGGTGATCCTTATATTTTGGGTCTCTCTAGGAGGCTAGGCTGCAAAAATGTCTCACCTATGTGGTATCCCTATACTCAGAGGGGAGGGGGGGGGAGAGGGGGGGGAGTAGCAAAATACATTTTTCACAGAAAATAAGAAAAAAGGTTTTTTCCTTTATATAGCAACCCCCCCAAACAAACAAAACAAAAAAAAACAGTGATGAATAAATATCTCCAATATAAAGTTCTGTCTCAAGAAGATTATATAAAATTCATGTGGGTACAGTGCTGCATTACTGAATAATTGTCAAAGTGTGACAGTACGAAAAACTGAAAAATGGCCTGGGCAGGGAGGAGTGAAAGTGGTTAAAGTCCCAGTTTTGTTTTTTTGGATGGTTCAATGACTAAGTGTAGGGATGTTGGTACCAGTTATATCTGTAAGGATATCTATTGTTTAAACATCTGCTCATAACTATTTTCATCATATTCTCAGCTTAACTTGCTCAAGCTGGTGACAAATTACATCAAAAGATAGAAGGCAAGGTTATCAACTCTAGCCTACAATACTTCTCTCAACACAGGTATAAAAGACAGAAAAGTTAACCCCTCACTTGCCTGGTAGAACTGTTTACGTTCCAGAGTTCATCAGGTCATAAAGTTAACTTTGTAAAAAAAAAAAAGTTTCTCCCCCCTTGACAAAGAGTTTATGCAGGCATTGCTTCGTCAGTTGATCACAATGACATTCCTGTGCATGCTTCCAGGAACCATTCTACAGTAATACAAGGTCCCAATGGTGTGTGTGCCTGTATGCACATAGCATAGTGTAACAGAGTAACTTATCTTTTGCAGTTCCCCATATAGAATGCTCACTTCTGCTGCTTGCCATATCACAGATTTCTACAATAAGAGAGAATACACCCACTGATTATCCTACAAAAGATGACACTTCTAGGGTTGCTGGATTACCAATCCCACACTATGCTCAGTGGTTCGATCTGCTGGCCCCTCCATCACCACTGAACCTGTGCAATTGATGTAGAAGACATCAGGAGGAACCAAAGCACACAGAGCAGAAAAGGAAACGGACACTTCCATAGAGTCCGATTCTCCAGGGCCTTCAGTGGGTGCATTAATTTAGCTTTTTTTTTTTTTTCAAGATAAGCAGCACAGGCAGCAGAAAAGGTGGGCATTCAATGTATTTTTTGTAAGGGGAAAATATTGTAATTTTAGCACCAAATTGCATTAAAGCAACAGAAAAAAACTAGGAGTAAATGTACTCTCCTGCATCCAAAGCTATAATATGTCATAAATGTGTACACCGATATAAAATATTCAATTTCTAGCGGTTATGTATTCATTAAAACATCCTTAAAGTGGTATTAAAAGTTTGGGTCCCCTGGCGCTCCTCCCCTTTGACCAGTGCCCCCAGTAGCAAGCTGCTTGCTATGGGGGTACTGGTGTGTGCTCGCTCTCGAGCCTGGCACTATGCGTCCATAAGACACAGAGCCACGGCTTGGCCCCAACCTCACTCTCTCCTCTTTTGCTCACTGGCTGTGATTGACAGCACTGCACCACTGCTGCCAATGAGGAGTTGTCGTCGTCCCAGGACAGCCGAGGCTCTTGTGCACATCGCTGGATAGAGAGGGGGATCATGTGAGTATTGGGGTGGGGGGAGAGCAACACATAGGTTTTTTTACCTTCATGCATAGAATGCATGAAGGTACAAAAAAGCACCTGCCTTTAGAACCACTTTAAAATGTATTATAAAAAGTACCTCAATCTGCCTTTATAGGATAGCTATTAGCCTCTGAAGTTTCCAGCATAGCATGATTAACGCAGGGAGAAGAAGCAACAACATAAAGCAATCAGGCTTCACAACATCACACAATTCACAGAAATCTGGCTGAAAGGAGGTGATGGCATAGGGCTGAACTGATAACGATTTAGAAATGGCTGAACAAAGCTCAAACTTTTTGGCAGGTAAGACAGTTCACATATAGTAGCTGTTTGCTGTCATTTCTACTTTAACCAATTTCCAACCATCATAGGTATATATATATATATATATATATATATATATATATATATATATATCTTTGTTGGAAAGTGATTATACACCGGCTACAGCTGCAACCATGATCCTGGTATCAAACTTTTCAGCCAGCAATGGGCTACAATGTAAAAATGATCCGAGCAGCCACTGAGTCCCTTTTACAAGCAGCAGAAAGGGGATCCCCCCCTCCCGTCAACCTTTCCTAGGTTCCCCCGTCAAACCGGGGAGACCAGGATTGACCTGTCGCATCGGATGTATTGTGAAGAGTGGAAAGAATGGAAGTTCTTTCTCCTTTTCTGTGATGTCAGAAAACAGAAGCGACGAGGATTTTGTCACTTCTGGATTTGGTTTGTTGGTTTACAAGCTGTATATTTTTTCCTGAAAATCTGTGTTGGATAAACCGCTACGCAAATATCGTGTGACATAAAAAATTGCAGTACCCACTATTTTATTTTCCAGAGACTTTGCTTTCAGAAAAAAAAAAAAAATGTTAGCGATATTATATATATATATATATATATATATATATATATATATATATATATATATATATTTTTTTTTTTTTTTTTTTTTTTGGGGGGGGGGGGGGGGTCCTAAGTAATTTTCTAGCAAAAAAATAAAAAATACAGATTTTTACATGTTATGTGAGAAATGTCAGAATTAGCCTAGTTTTGAAGTGGCTAAAGTTACTATAACACTGCAATGTTTCCATCTTTGGCACATATGAAAAACACAGTTTACTCACATCTGCTCCTTCCAGTGACTTCTTGAGGACAGCTACCACTTCTTCTTGGAAGGCAACTTCATCCACACATTTGGGTCGGCTGCATAGAAATCAAAGCTAGTTAATGAGTGACATAATAGGCTTCAAAATGTGTACCATGCACTTTAAATCCAGATGGTATTAATATGTAGCTTGGTTAGCCATTTGTTAATCGATTCACTTACATTATATTGCCAAAAGTATTGGGACTGCCTGCCTTTACACACACATGAACTTTAATGGCCTCCCAGTCTTAGTCCATAGGGTCAATGTTGAGCTGGCCCGCCCTTTGCAGCTATAAGAGCTTCAACTGTTCTAGGTAGGCTGTCCACAAGGTTTAGGAATGTGTCTATGGGAATGTTTGACCATTCTTCCAGAAGTGCATTTATGAGGTCAGGCACTGATGTCCTACAAGAAGGTCCTGGCTCGCAGTCTCCACTCTAATTCATCCCAAAGGTGTTTTATCAGGTTGAGGTCAGGACTCTGTGCAGGTCAGTCAAGTTCCTCCACCCCACACTTGCTCATCCATGTCTTTATGGTCCTTGCTTTGTGCACTGGTGCACAGTCATGTTAGAACAGGAAGAGGCTATCTCCAAAATATTTTGCACACCGTTGGGAGCATTAAATTGTTGAAAATGTCTTGTATGCTGACACCTTAAGATTTCTCTTCACTGGAACTAAGGGGCCAAGCCCAACCCCAACCCTGAAAAACCACCCCACACCATAATCCCCCTCCAAACTTTACACTTGGCACAGTGAGCAACCGTTCTCCTGGCAACCACCAAACCCAGACATGTCCATCGGATTGCCAGAGAGAGCATGCTTTGCATTGCACTTGGTGATGTAAGGCTTGGATGCAGCTGCTTTGCCATAGAAACCCATTCCATGAAGCTCTCTACCCATGGTTGCTGTGCTAATCTGAAGGCCACATGAAGTTTGGAGATCTTTAGTGATTGACTCTGCAGGCAGTTGGCGACTTGTGTGCACTGTGTGTCACTGCTCTGTCATTTTACATGGCCTACCATTTCATGGCTGACTTGCTGTTGTTCCCAGTTGCTTACACTTTGTTATAAGACCGCTAACAGTTGACAGTTGACTGTGGAATATTTAGTAGCAAGGAAATTTCACGGATAGATTTATTGAACAGGTGGCAACCTATCACGGTACCACGCTTGAATTCACTGAGCTCCTGAGAGCGACCTATTCTTTCAAAAATGTTTGTAGAAGCAGTCTGAATACCTAGGTGCTTGATTTTATACACACCTGTGGCCATGGAGGCGACTGGAACACCTGAATCCAATGATTTGGAGGGGTGTCCCAATGCTTTTGGCAACTAGTGTATAATATAAGCAATTTAGAAGAGAAACTATAACAAGATTCATTATTCTCTTTGGGTGGTGACAGCCAGGCATGTAGAATTTTCAACCCAAATATTTCCCTCAGTAGAGGTTTACTTTCGATACCAAACACATTTTAGAGATCAACGATCACATATAGTACAACAAAACACAACACACAAAAGCCACACAACTGACAATCTTCTACTTGAGGCGATTGTGGCCATATAACTTCACTTGCAACAAAAAAACACAAGACAGTACTAAATGTTGTTATACAATCACTTTGAAATTTATATACACACACACATAACAAAACGCATAAAAAAGCAACAAGTGCATTTTTGCTGCATTTCTGGCCAGGTTCCCACCAATGCAGTCTGCATTTTGCATGCATGTGTGATGTGTTTTATGTTTTTTTTTTATTTTTTTTTGGCCAACTTGTTGTTGAGCAGATTAAAACCGCATAACACATGTGTGTTTTGAATGCATTTCAGGCCTGGTTCACCCACAATGCAGTTTGCCTTTAGGCTATTTTGCAGTGCTTTATGAAGCTGTGCAATATATATGTAAAGCTCTGCGTAAATTGACAGCACTATATAAGTACCTATAGTAAATATGTGCGTTTTTGCACACGTTTTTGATGCTTTTTTTGGCCAACTTCTTGCTGGGCAGATTAAAAAAGCAAAACACATCAAAAACACAACATGTGTATTTTTGATGCGCTTTCAGTGCTTTTCAGGCTTGGTTCACCAATGCAGTTTGCACTGTCCACTTTGCAGTACGTTTTTGCACGCATGTTTTTGCGCACACATTTTTGATGAGTTTCCTGTCTCCATTGAAATCTATTGAACCACAAATGCTACATTTTGCATGTTAAAATGTCCTGACCCTTTCTAAAACTGCAACAGCTCAAAAAATCATAGATGTGAATGTGTCCCATAGGAATCCATGCTAAAAAGGACAGTAGTGCGTTTTGTCAAAAAGCCCTAAAAAACACATTGGTGTGAAGCAGACCTTAATGGGGAGGTGCGTTTTTTTTAAACTTTCCAAATATGCACCAAAAAAAGTGTGAAAAGCAGCCTATTGGCTGAAAGGTGCTGAAAATAAATTCATATTCATGTAACGTCATGATATTAATTAAAAGGTCAAATAGAATACATTTATATATAAAAAAAAGTCTAAATATTTTTTAAAAATTGTCCATTTCGGTTTTCGGTCAAATGCATCCTGAATTTCGGTTTTGGTCCACCACTAATCTAAACCTATACCTGAGGGTATGAGGGTCAAGAAACAAGAACACCATAACCCAAGACATTGTCAAAACAGTAACCTCAATAAGACCTACCAGGGAGAATCCTGAATGACTATAACCCCAACTGCAAGGGGTGTCAAAAAAGGCTACTGAGACCAGCAGACGACGCAGTCGAAAAACTAAAGAGGTAGGTACATGGTCAATACCCTAACTAAGGTAAACAGGAGATATAAATTAGAACCTAACAATAAACTGGTGAGGTGGGTTACAACCCTTATGAAGCTGAGGATAACCTACACACTCACTGGTTACACAAAAGGCACCTTTCGGGAGAGCTCCAAAAAAGGTACCCTGCTAAAAATATATTGTGTTTATTACGAACTTCAATAGTGACAAGGAAGGTCCAGACCTCCCTTCCCCAGATTTAATGAAGCAGCAGAATCTCTTGCACACAAGACAGGGGTCTTACTAGGACAGCAAAGAATATTTGCCTGTGTGAAGAATGCCCAAAAGGCCTCCACTATGAAACTGCAGATTAACCAAATAAGAAGGACCTAAACCCAGGTGGACAGCTTCCACAAAGTCTTCAAAGCATTTCTTGTTCCTGATGGAGGGTATCTGCAGCAGGAGACTAAAATGTTCTGCCTGCAGACAGCCCAGGGAGGGGCCTCCTCAGATGTCCTTCGCCTGCAACGCAGCATCTTATTTTCACAAGGTTTGAAAACCTCTTCTCCATGGTCAGAAGCTACCAGTTAAGGAAGAACTGGATTCCAGGGGATCAGCGAGTGAAAGACTGAGACCTGCAGTATCAACCTGAACTGGGATCAAGCGACATCTCATGGAAAAGACTCTCGTTCCTTCTAGATAATGACACAGCATGTCTCCCAATGCCTGACCTAGGAGATCAACTAAGAGTGGAATTGTACAATGCAGCTGGAGTCAAATGCTTTGGAAACACCCATATGAAGCCTTGAAGATACTTCTTCATTGAAAAGAGATCCCTGGACATGAGAAAATAAGTTTGTCACACCAAGGAACTACCTGGTTCTCAGAGACAAACATCTTACAGGAATTAGGCTGGCAACATGGAAAGGGGCTGAGGTAGATTGAAGGAGGTGGAGAAAGGCCTCGACAACAGAGTTTCTAGCTAGGGAGGAGAAAAGGCTAACTAAAGACCAGAGGCCAGTGGTCTTGTGTGCGTTGCATACATGTTACAGGTGCCGACTCTGAACTAAACCCGACAAGGCAAGATCTTAAAGCCATTAGGCCCTTCGGGGGAGATGTTGTCCGCTAGGGCCTTGAGTAATGTCCCACAATAGGGATGCCAGGATATAGCACAAAAGCTGAAGAGCAGTCAAAGCTGGACCCTGATGATCTAGTAGGTCAGGAAATCTCTCTATAGAGGGATAACACAGTGGGATACCTTGTGCCGGTAATGACATTACATGCTCCAAGGAAAGTGAATACCTCTAAGGTAGAAGATGGTTTCCAGGATGGAGCACAGCTCCAGAGGTCAAGCCAACAGAGAACCTAGAGCAAGAGGCTCGGGATTTAGGGGATCTCCAGGGGGTAGGTCTGTTAAACTATGCAGAGATATAGGGAAAAGGTGAGTGAGTAGCTGATGCAAGTATTTAACACGTTCTACCGAAGGGGCACTCTCTGCACCTGAATGCCTGAAGGGTAAATTACACAAGGACTTGCAAAAATCAGCAACCCCACCCCAATTAAAAAAGTGGGAGCACACCTTATGCTGAAGGATTATCTGAGGGTTTAGTAGGCTTCATGCTTGAAAATCAGGCTTAGCAGGCCTAGTAGCACCCACTCAAGAAGAAAAGGGTAGGACTCATCTGACCTTTTCTTGGAACAATTATGTAGAGGCAGGTGTGTGCTCCTGCCTACTGAAGAATCCCTGATAATGTCATCAAGAGTAAGATAGAAGAGACTGCATCCATCAAACACCAAATGTTTTCTTTTCATAAAGGAACAGTTCCATTAGACACTCAGGTGGGGCCCAGGACCCTTCAAGGTGCTCCCAGACCACACAGAGGAATACCTCGAATAGTAGGTATACTGGAAAGTTCTTTGCAGCTGTGGGGGCTGCAAAAGATCAAATGTTGGATACACTGCATCAATAAAAGCCAAAACAATACATTAAAAATCTGAGGTAATGGAAAGCGACTGCAGTGCCTCAAAAACAGTCTCAACAGAGACAAACTTCAAAAACTCTAAGTCAGAGATAGAACAGGCTGGGCCACTAGTCCCAGTGACTAAAGGCCTCGGGCAGCTTAGACATTGACGTCAAACACAGTAAACATCCCTGGTTGTTGTAGTGGGAGCTGTCGCCATCCGTAAAAGCAGGACTGTCACCTCTGTGGCTATGTATGAAGATTTTGCAGTTGCATGGGTTTGATGAAACTAGGCTCAAGGTACGAGAAAAGATCTCAGGCACTTACAGATGCAGACAGTTGG